ACAAGGAAACATGTGCCGATTGTGATGGAGCAACAGTATGCAAATCAAGAAAAGAACCTTATAATACAATGTGTAGAACAATAGGTAATAGAAAATTAAATGGGTTTTGTAGTCATTGTTTCGTTAATTTATTCCCAGATGACCCGAGAGCAATGAATGTAAGGAAGAAGTCAAAAGAAATAAAAGTAATGACACATATATTTTCAAAATTTGAAGGTTTCAAAAATGATAAACCTTTTTATGTAGATTTGGAAGGTGGTTGCTGTTCAACAAAAAGAAGAATAGATTTAAGAAAGTTAATTAATAATACGATGTTATGCATTGAGATTGATGAGAACCAACATAAATATTACATAAAACAAGATGAACAAGATAGATATAATGATTTGTTTATGGATTTTTCAGGTAAATATGTATTCATTAGGTATAATCCAGATAAATTTATTGATAAATATGAAAAGTCAAAAAATCCAATGTTTGAAACAAGAATGGAAGTGTTAGAAAAGTCAATTAATAAACATATTGAAAGAATACAAAACGAAGAACATACAGAACTCATTGAAATACACCACTTATTTTATGATGAAATTATTTAAAATAATAATTATATTAATAACTGAATGGAACATCTTTTCAAGATACGATTTAGGGGATGTATCTTGAAATGGAACAGGCTTTCCATTGCTTCAATCATAAGCATTGAAGATAATTAGTTTGAATTAGCTTGAACCTCGCTTGTGTTGTCCAGTCCGAAGAAAACCCCATTGCTGAGCCCCGAATATTCTAATAATAAGATTAAATAATTATTTTAATAATTATTTCATCTTATTATTTTATATGGATAGGACTTATTCAGATTATATTGATATAACTGATGAAGTTGAGAAAGTAGAACAAGTTGTAATAACTGACAATAAAACTAAAAAATGTTGTTATTATACAATGGAACTAATTAAGCTAGGAATTCAATATATCAAAAATAAAAATATAAATATTAATATAAATGGGAAAAAAGAAAAACAAAAAGAATAAGACTTCCTCCTGCGGTTCTTCTACAGATGAAGATAAAGAAGAAATTGTTAAAGAAACATCAGTCGTTGAGTTTATGTGTCCAATGTGTCAAAAGATGTTAGAAATGAAAAACGAATTAGAAATACAAAAGAAGGGAAATTGTAAATGCTCTTGTGTGCCTATCGGCTTCAATATAATTAAGAAGGACAAGAAAATGAATATTGATAAATCCAAAGACAGTATCAACTTAGAAACGGACGTTCATAATATTGCTATACTCTTTGGGAGAAATATCACACCATCCGAAAATGGCGAAAACGAAACACAGGAAACTATTAAACAAATGATGAAAAATTAGCATTTAAAGAGTAGATTTAACACCACGTTAAACGCATAAATAAATAAATAAATATATATAAATATATATAAATATATATGTCAGATAGTGATAATGTGTCATTAAGTGAGTTAATAAAGAAGGTGAATATGTTAAATAAGAATATCAAGGCATTAACAGATTTAACAACAGCAATTGATGAAAAGTTTCAAGCCAACATAGCAGATAATGTTGATGAGCAGGAAAAGATTGATAAGATTTTTGAAAGCCGTGGGCTGGGCAGGCCGAAGGGCGACCATCAAAGTAAAAGACAATCTTATTTTGAGATGGTGTCCAAAGGGCGTATTAAGCAACCAAGAGAACAAACATTAGAATATTATAAAATCAGGAAAGATGAAAACGGTGAATATTCCTTAGATTAATTTCTAAATAATTCTAATAATATGTATTTATTAGAATTATTCTCAGGTAGTGGAAGTGTTGGAACGATTGCGAGGTCGCTAGGTTTTAATGTAATTTCGTTGGACTTGAAGAATGCTAACATCAATACTGATATTTTGAAATGGAATTACAAAGAGTTTGACAAAGGGCATTTCAATTTTATTTGGGCTTCTCCACCTTGCACGGAATACAGCAGAGCAAAAACAACTGGCATCAGAAATATTGAATATGCTAACAGTATTGTTTTAAAAACCCTGGAAATAATAGATTACTTTAAACCTGAATACTGGGTGATTGAAAACCCTCAAACTGGATTGTTGAAGATGCAACCTTTTATGAGTGGTTTGAAATACAATGATGTTGATTACTGCAAATATGGTTTTAATTACAGAAAAAGAACTAGGCTCTGGTGTAATCTAACAAACTGGACACCGAGAGCATTATGTAATAAAGATTGTGGTAAAGTTATTAACAATAAACATATTGAAACAGCACAACGAGCACCTAGTGGAAAGCGCATTTTTTGGGGCGAGAATTATGTAAAACATAAACAGGAAGACCTTTATAAAGTCCCTAGTGAGTTGATTTGCGAGATTTTGGTTAATATCTTGGTTAATGGCTCATTTGAAACGTATTAGGGCTCAATATGAAACGTATTAGGGCTCAATATGAAACGTATTAGGGCTCAATATGAAACGTATTAGGGCTCAATATGACATTTCCGGGGCTCAAATATGACATTTCCGGGGCTCAAATATGACATTTCCGGGGCTCAAATATGACATTTTCGGGGCTCAAATATGACATTTCCGGGGCTCAAATTTGACAGGTGAGAATTATGTAAAACATAAGCAGGAAGAACTTTACAAAATCCCTAGTGAGTTAGTCAGTGAGTTGTTGTTGTTGCTTTGGAATGTTCTGTGTTCTGTTCCTTGTTTGGTTTTTTGGTTATGTTCTTTGTTGTTGGGGGTTTTTGGATAAGGGGGCTTCAACCCACTTCGGTAAGCATTTTGCCTAAAAACGGTTTAAAGGGTTGGTGGCTTATTATATTAGAAGATTATGGATAAGAAACATTGCTCGGGTTGTCAAAGAGATAAGAATTACAATTTATTTTCAAATAATTGTAAAACTTGTGATAAATGCCGTGAAAAGCAAAGAAGGAAGTCAGAAATAAAGAAATTGAAAAGAGAAGCGATGAAGAAAGAAACAGTAGCAGATGAAGGGGAAAAACAATGTTGTTCTCATTGTCGAGTTCATAGAAAGATTGAATTATTTTCAGATAATCATAAAACTTGTGATAAGTGCCGAGACAAGCAAATAGTATATTCAAAAACATACCGAGACAACCATAAGGAAGAAATACGAGAAATAAACAAAGAATACGGACAGAGAGAATATCATTGTTCTGTATGTGATTGTGAGATTAAATTAAAGCACAAGGCACGGCACGAACGAGCAAGGAAGCACATAGAAAATTTAGAAAAGAATGAGGTTAAGGATGTATGAAATGGTTTAAGTTATTTTATAAAATGAATAACTTAAAACATTTTGATTATGAGGTTGGTTAGGCACGTGTTATGAAACTTATATGGGTTTTGATATTGGCGATTGGTATGAAATTTTATAAAATCTTGGGGGGCGGGTCTGACTGATGGGGCAGAGAAGTAGGTTGTAGGCTTCCTGCTTGCTCTTTCGGGGCTATCCAAAGGTCCCGTGCCTTAGAACAGGGGTCGTTTTATGCCCCCTTTCTTGGGATGTTGTTTTGAAATCGCTACGCGATCTGCCGACGCCATCTGTGGTGCGACGACTGCTGCGACGGTCAATGAATATGTGCAAATGGGTTGGCCCACGGATTCGTATCCCTAGGTGCGCTGAGTGGGATTTACCCTGCAAATATCCAATGGCAAGACGGGCAAAAAATGTCCGGCTTTCGCGTCTATCAGTGCATGAATTTCTGAGGTGGAAACTCAGAATGCACGTGAGATGTTATCCTAAACGCATGTCCCATAAAAGGCTCCCTCAAGTATAGAAAATGCAGAGGATGCAGCCAGACTGCATAGCAGGCCGGACTAAATGTCCAAGCCTAAAATGTCGTGAACTTCGGACGCAGCAAATTGGCCAAGTACTGGGGATTTCCAAGAGCACAAGAAGGGGGATGTTTAGCAGCGACGTCCCTATACTAAGGGGACTTTTGCAAAAAACACTTCTTTTTTCAGTTTAGATCGTCACTACACTTGCCCTGCCCAGACCCCAAACATGCCAAATCCAACATTGCTGCAGATTCTATCTTTTAGGCATTCGAAGACCCAAGACACTAGACAATTCAAGTTGTGGACCCCCGGCAAATTTTGCTAAAAAATGACCTCTCCGAAAGCCTTCGGCTTTAAAAGAAAGTTCCGAAGGAAGAGCAAGTTGCAGATTGCCCCATCTACACGCTCGACTGGCGCCGGCAGATTTACATCACCTTTTGGGTCGTTTTGAGATGAGTTAAAAAGTTGATGGGGTGATGTTTCAGGGGGACATGCAAGGAAACCTGTACGGCGCGCACAAGTGGACCCGGGTTCCAACAAATGGTTGAAACTTGTGCTTCACATCCAGGCGCGGTGGGTTGGCAAAGCATTGCGGCCTGAAAGGGGGCTTCCATTTGCCAACTCTGCATAGGTCTCCCCAGTTTATCAGGGAGTCCTTTCTTTGCAAATCCTTGGTTGACATCATCGATTGACGCGTTTGTTGATCATCTATTGCTTTGCTGGGGGGCACAATGCAAATCCAGCAAACAACAGTTGGAGCACGCGTTCCGATGTCCACGCGCGAAAAAGGTTTTGCGTAGCTCATGTGTGTCCACTTGCCTGCAACAAAATGTATGCGCCATTCTGCTGGACAAGCGGGCAAGAATGATAAAGTGTTGAACAAAGGTCTCAAATGGATTTTTCCAGGCAGGATTATTTTTCAACAAATGTGTTTTTTTTTTTTTTGTGTGGGGGGGGGGGGGTAGTTTTCTTTGGGATTCAGAAGGAAGCGTTTCAAGAAAGCCAACCATGTGATCCCACCGATGGGACCTTTGAATGAATCCACGCGGCTCTCCGCAAAGCTGTGTTTTTTCTACGTTTATTCTGGGGTTCTGATGGTCTTCTGAAAAGACTCGGATCCCAAAGAATGGAATTGGAAGTGTCCCCATAGCGAATTTTAGGACCCGCGCAGCTGGCCCGAGGCGAATCAGCTGGGCTACGTCTTCCTGGCGCTGTGGCTCGTGGGCATCACCCGGACCTACCTGGCCGTCTGCGCCAACGCCGCGCGCGCCGGCGCGCGCCTGGACCGCCCCGACCAGCATGTCTACAAGGTCATGGCGTCCTCTGGGCCGATGAAGGAGGGGAGTGGGAGCCTCTGATGGACGTGACCATTTGGGTGGGTGATAAAATTTCGGATTTGGATGGAAATTGGTGGTTTTCCCTTTCTTCCCCTCCAAAAAGGGAACCTAAACGTCACAAATAAGGGTTGTTTTGTCTCTAGATCCCTCAAACCCCCCCGAAACAGGGTACTGTCAACAAACAACTGTCCGCATGGCCTCGATTTTCCCAGCCCCTGTAGCCCTACGCACGTTCATGTGTACACTCGACATAAGAGGAACATGGGCGCGAAATCGGTTTTGCCGCCTGCGATGAAGAAAGCGATGTCCAGGTCACCCCCGCCAAACCCAAACCCAACGGGCCGTGGCCAAAAGATCTGTTTACTTGAGTTTGATGGGGCTGGTCAGGGCAAACGCGTGGCTCTGGGATTTAAGAATTTCAAAGAACCTCCCGATCACATCCTCACAAAATGGTTTCTCCAGAGTCTTGGTCCATCTGGCCATTTCTCGGGCCTCGCTCAACCTGCAGCGGATCCCCAGGACGCGCCCTACGTGCTCATGGCTACCACTGGGCCCGCCGGGCGTTTCAACCGCGCCCAGCGCGCCGCATTCAACGCCGACGAGTCCATGCCACTGTGCGCCGGGCAGCAGTTGGGTTGGGCAGTTGGGTAAGATGGACTTTGTATCAAACCGGAACTCACACTAGTCCGCAAAAAATCCCTCCCCCCGAAATGAATTATTTCTCTCAGTTGTTTATATATTGGACCCTCCCATTCACGTTGCCATGGAACCGACCAGGAGGTCCCTATTAGACTGAACGGCGTATCTCTCCACGAGAAACGGACCGCCCTGCTCACTCCAACCCTTATTAACTCGATAGGAGTGATTTTTGGAAGCCTAGCATCCGTCATCTCACAGAGGCCGATGTTTACTTTCATGGTTGCTGGGCAGGGCGACCCGTCATCTGCTTCAGAAGTCAAACCCTTACTAAGGCCTTGGGTGTAACTCGGGTAAGCCTATTTGGGGAGGGTGGATCCGTGAAAACGCTGTATTGTGCGACTTGGATTTGGATGGCCAATGGGGTTTCGGGGACTCTCGCGCGAATTGCCAGGTTCCTGGCATACACGCTGGTGACCGGCTGCATCTTCGGGCCACTTGTTTTGGTACCCCTCCTTATCTACTGCTACGGCCGCATCCTCTTCGGCATCAAGCAGCTCGGCTGCGGCCGGTGGGCGGCTGAAGCTGTAAGTCCTTGGAAAGATGAGTTTCCTCGTTGCCGGGGTGTGTGTTTGTGTGTGTGTGTGGCTCGAGAGCTTCCATGCTTAGCCCATCGGACGCCGATGGATGAACCTTTGAAGGATGGCGGTGTTTCAAAGCTTGCTCTTGCCAGAGGCCCCGAAGTTTTCAAGCGGGCTCTAGAACCATGTGGAGGTGTCCTGGCGGCTTCCTTCCTGGCGACCTCTTACCAACAAACCGCATTGTTCTTTCTTTTTTTCGGTCTCTCGTTGGGTTTCCCTTCCGGCTTTCGAAGTCTCGCCTTCAGGTACACCCAGTCACTCTCCGCACGGGGTGCCGGCTTCATGCCCGCCGTGATCGGCGAGAAGTGGATGGAGGGCTTAGTGCTGATGGCTGCGATTCGGGCGCTTCTCATGTGAGCACGGGCGCTTCTCATGCCATCCAAGTGGATTCCGGGGCTTCTCGAAATCCACGTTTTGTTTGGTTCGCCAGCTGGACATGGGTCCATAAAAGGGTTCGCTTTTATTCTACGTTGGGGGCGCATGTGTTCTCGTCCTGTTTCTAAAGTGAGGGCTCCGGTTGGGCATCCAATCATTGTTTTTGGCGGGAAGCGCGGGCACCGTCCAGTTTTGCAGGCCTTTGCCCGATCTCGTTGTCACAGGCTGCGCACACACACACAGGCTGTGCACATAGGCGCAGCCGGGTTCCATGGGAAGACTCCGGGGGGGGCTGGGCATGTCCTGACCTCCCCGACCCCATGAAGTTAGACTTAGGCTGACAGACCGTTTGGGCCGCCAGTTGCTTGAGGCAAAAGTCGGGGAGTGCGCATGGTTCAGGCATGGGCGACAAGCGAACAACGTGTTTGGCCTCTGAGTTTCCGAGCTGTGCCCCACAACTAGTGCCCCACAACTAGAACACTTGAAACAATCCTGCTCCGTTGGTTGTAAGTAGGGTGGCCTCTGCAGTAGCTTTGCTGAGTGGTTGGCGATCACAATTCCCACTGAACCTTGAGCAACCCCCCCGCTAGCAACCCCTAGCAACCCCTAGCAACCCATAGCAAAACCACGAAACCTGTGCCAATCACTTGGCCGTCCCCTTTCCTCTTGGGCGTCAGTGCGGAGGTGGGCAGGGTGCGTCCCAGGTCGGCTCAGAGGCTTTGCGCCTGGGCCTCTGCTCGGGTTGAAAGGCTCTTGGGGCCTCTTTTAGGTGGCCATTTTCTGTGAGTGGCCATCCCTTCCATTTTTTTGGGTGAGTAATGTGACAATGGAACCAGACTTTCCGCCATGTTGAGACAGATGGATCCTTGGCGTAGGTGCGCCAAGGCTGAGTAATTGAGTGCAAGGATCTCTGCCGACTTTTGGGCCGGGCGGGCTAGGGGGGGGGGGGGCATGCCAGGAACTTGCAATCTGTCTGTTGGTTTTCATAGGGGGCTGCCTCACTCATGGCAGGCATCATGGCCATGCACTTCTACCAAAGGGTCCCCAATGAAAACTCACACCCATTGCACTTCTGAGATGGCCAGGAGATTGGGTCGAGAACGGTTGCGGCACTTGAGTTCCAAAACAGCGGGCCAAAACAGCTTCCCCGCACGCTCAAGGCAACTCCGGAGAGAGACGTAGGCCAAGTTTTCAGAGGTTGGCCAGCGAGCGCCCTTTGCAGTTTGCCCTTTTCAAGCAAGTCCAGCGGCCTTCAAGCGCGCCTTGTTGAAGCAACTTTCGGGTTTCGGGGGTGGTCAGAAGCCATGTGGCGCAGAAGCGCAACCGATCCATTCTCGGTGCGCGGCACGCATATTTTGTGGCCAACCGGTCTAGGCGGAGCTTTTTGCAAACGCATGCTATGTCACGGCGCAGGCTGCCGGCTCCAACAAACAAGGGGTGGTCTATCTGCCCGGCACGCACCAAACAACTTGCCTCTGATGATACTCTGAGCCTATGTTTGGATCAGAGTCTGTCCCCTGGGGTAACCATGAAGGGGATCACTCTGTGGAGGGTGCATCTTCCAGAGGTGATGTATCTTTCAGCCGCACGTCCCTGCCGCCGCAGCCTCTCGTTTTTCAGCGCGGCCTCGTGGTTGCTAAACGCAACCAGCCGGCTCGCTGAAAGCCCCCCGGACATTGATGCTCGGCAGGGATTTGGGATCTTGTCGTCGAGGATTCCGCCGCTTCAAATGAATTCTACAGGATTCAGCCGAAACAGATGCCTTCGAATTGTGTCAAAATAGGGCTTCCCTATATGAGTGTGTTTTTTGTGGGTTCCCTTTCAACAATAGGTGACCTTTCGGACAAATCGATGAGTTTCCCTGCCTACGGAAAATTGGGAAAACCCAATCGAATTCTCTCCAAACTCCTGGCAGATTACAGACATTTGCAGATGGGGCGGTTCCCTCCTTAAAGTCAAGCCCCGAAACGGGGCGCCTCCCAATGAAGAAGCCAGTGGCTTTGAGCTTCCGATGCTTTGCAGTCTCAATTCTTCGGGCCCCCCCCCCTCCCCCTAAAAAAGAGAGAACAAAACACGTGACACACAAAACAGAAAAACACAACATGGTGGTTCTCTTTAGTGTTCCTTCAAAATGACAACTCCAGCATTGGAGAGCTGTCCATCACAATTCTGTCGTCAACCACCTTCTGCGGGTGTGAAGGCTAGGAATCGCAAGCGGGTCACCCGATCGCAACCTGGGGCAAATGGAGCCCTAGAAAGGAGTCTGGCAAAAACGGCCGTTTGCTGGGGTTCCATGGTTTGGTTTTTGAACAAGGGGAAGCAGGTGCGGGAGGGCATATTCAGCTTTTGCAGGCTAGTGTTGACCCCGTTAAAAGGTCTCCCCCAAACGTGATCCCGTTTGCTTCTGAAATGGGACACAACCAAGGCAACTTGGGTCCCTGTTCCCATTTTTTGCTAAAGCATTGAAGCGCACGCGCGCCTATGTGAGAGGCCCCCGCAAACCGTGGCCCTTTGCGCCTTGAGGACGTCGCACGTGAAAAACAAGTGTAGGCTTGGGTATACCACTATATGCCTATCATGCAACCCTGCGGCCTTCCCGGCCATCCCCCAGTTCTGTCTCAAGACCCGGGCCCGCGAGGAAGTGATGCGCCTCCTGGCGTTGCTGGCGCCTTGCGCCTCCGCTCTGCTCTTCGATGAGGCAGCCAAGGTGGGAGAGCAGGGCGGGGGTGGGGGGGATGTTCGGGGGGGAGGCACCAGCCTGGCAGCTGCCCCAGCATTTTTTGTGGTTGCTCCAATTGCGCACTAGGAATTGCGCGGGGTTGATGGCTTGCAGTCCATGGATACCTGAAAACTGCACTGTTCTTTGGGCTTCTGGGCGAAGCGACCACTGTTGCATCTAGCAGCTTGGCAATTGGCGCAGCGGCAGTTGCCACGATTTGACATTAATTGCATGGCACATGGAATCCAAGGAGCCTTGGGCGACATACCCGAACCCCACATGACGTTCACTCCAATGTGCCACGGACTCACAGGGGGGCTCCGGCGAAAGTGACGGCTTCCCTTTGCACCGGCACACCTTGGTCCCCAAACAATCGGGTTGACTGCTCCTTGATTTGGCAGAATCCATTAGGTTTCTTTTCCTTTCCTGGTCGGTCGCTGGAATGGTTTCTAGGCTGGGTTGGCCCGCAAGAAGCGTGCCGAGTGGGGCCGCCGTGGGGATGCACACATGTTCTGGCACTGGCTGGTCTGGAGAGCATGTTCAGTTGTCCACTTGACCATGGACACGTCCAACCCTCCAGCATGGATTCTGGTGGCAAAGTCAGCCCTCAACGGCTTAGAAACCTCCAGCTGGCCCCTGTTTTCATGTCAGCCCCGCTTCGCAAAACGGCTCCCGCCCTTCTGCCAGTTTCAACAACAAATGCGCCAGATCCCAGATCCTCCTCCCCAGATGTGCCGGCTTCTGCCTTGGTTCAGCCAAATCAAAAACAGATCCCACCCAACCCACCAACTCCTGCCCGTGCCTCGCGTGCCGAAGCCTGAGGTGCTCCTGATATACACCACGCATGTCGTGCCTATGTAATTGGGTCATTTGTTTTGCACAGGGGCACCGGCGTCGGCGTGTGGGCAAGGCCCTCAAACCAAACCAAGCCCACCTCAAGTTCAGCTTGACCGTCGCCCACGAATCACCCCCGAGCTCGCCCTCCACACCCCGCCAGGCCAAACCTCCGAACTCGCCCTGTCTTTCTGCAAGGACACACATTCTTTTCTGCCTTTGTCTTCCCATCCCTCTCCCCCTTCCTCAGCCTCCCGCGATCTCCGCACATCTCCGCACGTCCCATGGTGCCATGGACGGCCTCTTCACGGACCCCAACTGCAGCCTCTCGCCGCCCTGGGCGGCCTGGCTGGCGCACCTCGCCGGCGCTAGCCTCCGCCTGGACGGCCTGGCGGCGGAGCCCGGGCTGCCGGAGGCGCAGGCGGCGCAGCGGGCGGAGGACGGGAGGTTGGAGGGAACGTTTGGGGGGGGGGGGACCGGAAGGACCCCCTGGTGGACAAAGTTGCCAGATGTACTTAAACGTATATGTATGTACAACTTTCCTTTTTCTTCCCCGTTTTTGTAATGTATATGCATTCTTATACGTAAGTCAGTTTGTTTAAAGAGTGGTCGCCCCGCTGAGGTACTGGGCGAAGACTTTGCTTAAGGAAAATGTCCTGGTTGATGTGCTTAGCGTTTGGGGTGCCCCGATTTTTCAGGAAATCCTCACCAAACAGCCAGGTTCTCCCGACCCCCTTTGAGGAAAGCAGCCAGCGAATTTGGATTTGACCCACGCATTGGCATCACGGCCCTTGGACAAGCAGGCTTTCCCTGCACGGCTGAGATCCCTGGCGTTGAGGCAAAGAAAGTGCCGCCAGAGCAAGCATAACCCTGTGACCATTTTGTGGTATGCTGCAAAGTCTGCCCCACTTGGGGGTCTGATGCACTCCTCCGCACTGACCGTCAGGGCCAACACCCACCGTAGATGAGAAGGGCTCAAAACGATCAGGATTCCTGGTATCTTCTTCTGAAGTCAGGGATGTGTCAAAAGAGGGATTTGGACCCTCATGGTCCTTTTGCCTTCCATCCACCCCAAAAAAACATCGCACCAACTCCCAGCAGCTCCAAACCCCCCCCACCCCCCACCCTCGATTGTGACAATCCGATTGTGGGTGGGTAGGTGCGTGGGTCAGCGGGTGTGGGTGAGTGGGTGTGATCATGTGTGAAGGGAGGGAGAAGGACAGAGGGAGAGGGAGAGGGAGAGACACGTGGCTTCCCCTTGCGCTCGGCACTGGGCGCCAGCTGGCAGGACGCTGCCGCAGAGCTGCAGCTGGGACCGGACAACGGCTGCTTCCTGGGCAGCGCCACCCTGCTGCTCACGCAGGCGACCTGCGTTTACAGTTTCATGGCCTTTGTCGGATAAGACGCAGGTCGCGTGTTCGAGGGTCGCCCTTCGTTTTTTTCCTTTTCCTTCTTTTTTTTCTCCTCAGTTGTTTTGAAGATTGAAGGGAGGCCAAAAGCAAAAAACCTACCAGTGTGGGGGGGTGGCCTTGCGTTGGCGCTTGTCTTGTCATTGGGCTCATTATGTGTACATGCTTTGTCATGCAGGCACCGGCTCGTTGACCAGCGCAAGTTTTTGCAGGCTTCGAGACATGTTTGCCAGAATCTGACCTGTGTCATTTCTGGAACCTTGATTTGACAGCCGGTATGTATTTGGGCGCGTTCCCATGAAAGAAGGTAAGAAGGTAGCCTCCTCGTTCGGCACCCCTGAAACGAAAGCCTTTCGGGATCCCATGCGCCAAAGACTTGCCCCCCAAACAAAGGGGCACCACGAAAGGACTAGAGTTTTTCGTGGGACCCCGTTTGGCCCACAAATAGGTCAATCTGGCAAATGCCTATGATTCCTATGATGCACAAACCCGAAGGGAAACTGTTTCGCCTGAAAGCACCCTCGCCTGACATTGACCCTGGCCGTGCGCGGTCTAGTTTTCATCAGGGCCCTGCAAAGCAGGTTGGTCAAGGCATCAGCTTTTCCAAGTCAGCGACCCGTGAACGCTATCTACCCCTCGCAAATTCAGGCGTCGCATATAGGCTCCCTAGATTGAGTGGCAGAAATCGTGTTTTCATGTCTCGGCGGCTCCCAGCCATCCCCTTAGCGTTTCAGCCTTTTGGTGTTTAGTGGTTGGATGTCCATTTAACCCACTAAAAGTTGTTCACTTTTAGCGGGGGATCTGAGGACAGGCCCAATGTGTTTCCCTTTTGTTTTGTCTTCTTCGAAATTTTCCGGCAGGTGGTGGGGTCCTGGCGCCGGGGCCGCTTCGTGGCGGCGCTCCACACCTTCGCCCGGGCCCTGGAGCCCGCACACAGCCACACGCGCGTTGGTTCTGCACTGGGCTGATGGCTTGCGTCTAAGGCGGGTTTCAATTTTTGTTTTTGTTTGAACGGATCCCCTGAAAGGAAACAACAAGAGAAGGTTTCGCCAAGATCGACCAGTGAGAACACGCACCTTTTCCTGACCAAACAACATGGACCTCAAAATGGCCGAACACTTTTAGTTTAACACTTTTCATCTTAACAAGCTCAGGGTAGCCCGGAGCTTCATTGTTTTTATCGCCAAGTTGGTTTGCCCTCCAGAGGGTACATACTGCGTTCATATTTGTACGTGTTTATGTAAATGTTTCTGCATATGAGTGTATATACGAATGTACGTATATACGTGTTAACAAAAATGTGCAGGTATAGATGTGCAGATGTATAGACATAGATGCATAGATGTATGTATGTAACTATCTATTTTTGCATATATAGATAAAGGCAGCCATGCTGTGCAGATGTATAGTTATTCAGATGGCCATGTGTAAACTTGTATAGGTATTTGTGCTATGTAGATGTATACCTACTGTGGGTGGACAAAATCCTGCACCACTTGGAAACCATGGGAAACCATTGTTCGTTGGTATTTGCAAGGGAATCGGTGCGAAATGAATTTGGTCCACCCACAGTATTGGGTCTTACCAGTTCGGACCTCAACCGTCCTCTCTCCCCCCGGTTTTGAGGCACTTCTGCACGACCACTTCCTGACCGCCGCCCATCCGGGCTTCTTCCTGCACAGCGCCTGGCCGCTGGGGGACCAGGAGAAGAGGGGGTGCAACCATTGACTGCTATTGGGTTGGGCCTTTAGACTTTAGCTTTTTGGGAAATCAAGGCGTTTTCCACTAAACCACCAAAAAGTTAAACTTTTTGCAGGGGGGTCAACAGCAACCAAGATGTTTCTCCTGATTTTGACTGGGTGCCTAGTTGCGCATCCCAAGAGGAACCCTCTTGGCCTCTGATGGGCCCCAGTCACTATTAGCACTGGGGGGAGGCTCCTCAGCCACAGGAGGATATTGGCATGGCACGTGCCAGGGGAGGCTGGACTAGAGTTGCATTTGGACTGTTGGCCATTATTTGAGCCAGCAGCCGGGAGTTTCAAGGTCAAGCGAGCCAGCAACTGGGAGTGTTTCCCTATTAGCCTACCATCGGGGGTGGGGGGGGGTGACTTTGATGATGAATGATGAGACGTTGAGGCCAGTTTCAGCATCCGGGATTGCACCCGTTTTTCTCCCTTTTGCTTGGGTTCCCCGCTCAAGCTTGTGCGTCAACTCCAAAAAAAAGGGTCAATGGAATGGGCAACTGGGTTTCAAGCCACTTTTTTTGTTTGGGTTCCGCTTTGCATACGGAACGTTTGTTTGCCAGCTTCCCAAAGCCAGAGGGAGGTTGCACAATTGGCTCTTTGCGTCCACCATACTATGACCAAAACGCCAAGAGAAAGGAGGAAAGCAGCCCTGGCCTGGCAGGGAATGATGATTTGGGGGTGTGGGTTGAAGGTTTTGGCCCAGTTGGGCCGAAAAAAGCAGGGAGCTTGGCAGTTTGGTTGGGGAAAATTGGCTGAATCAGTTTCTCCGAGTTGTTTCCACCTGTGAGTGTTTATCCACATTGCCACCTGCCGCGACCTGAGCAAATCACCAGGCCCCTCAAAGCTGTAAATTTCAGGGTTCCCTCCAAAAAAGTGATATTGTAGGGTAGGCTCAGTATGATAAGGTTCCCTCCAAAACATTAATAATTTAGGGGTCGGCTGCCTCCAAGACAATTGCTATCTTAGGCTCGTGGATGGACGAAATCCTGCACCACTTTGAAACCACGGGAACCCACTGTTGGTATTTACAGGCGAATCATCATTCCAGGGCTTCTGAACGGTGGTGCGTTTCATGGATTTCGCAACCATCCACAGTATGGTCCAGTTGGAGGGACAGGGGGAAATCGCCAAGTTTCCCGCAACAAGCGAGGTTCATGCATCTGCCCAGATCCTTGGGAAGTCAGGACGTGAGGTACTGGAAGGACCGCCTGCTCTTCCAGGTCCGCCGCTTCCGCGAGCTGGCGGGCCGCAACGCCCACATGGGCCCCGAAGCCTTCGGCGAAACTGCAGTGCCCGACCCTGTGGAACGGGACTGGGGACCCGTGGGAAAGACGGGTCGGGGATGGGCCAAGGCCAGTTTTTTTGTTGTTGTTGTGCGTTGTTGGTTTGCTTTGTTTGCCTGATTGTTTGTTTGTTTGCTTGCTTGCTTGTTTGTGTGCGCGTTTGTTTGTTTGCATTGTTTGTTTTCTTTTATGTTGTTTGTTTGTTTGTGTGTTTGTGTTTTCTTGCTTTGTCGGTCTTGTCTTATTGTACTGTGTTTGTCTTGTTTTATTGTACTTTGTTTTGTTTTGTTTAGTGTTGCCTCTTTTTTTCAATTGTTTTGTGTTTGTTCTGTTTGTTTTGTTTTCCTTTGCTTGTTCGATTTCTTTTGTGTTGTTTGTGTGTGCGTGTGTGTTTGTGTGTTTGTTTGGTTGTTTGTTTGGTTTTTTGTTTGGTTTTTTGTTTGACTGTTTGTTAGTTAGTTTGACTGTTGGTTAGTTAGTTTGTTTATTTGTTTTGGGGTTGATTTTGCTTTGCGTGTGTTTTCACTTTTTGTCTCCCTTTTTTTTTGGTGTTGTTTTGTTTGTTTCGTTTTGCTTTCCTTTGCTCGTTTTGTTTTCTTTTGTTTCGTTTGTGTGGGGTGCTATTTTGTTTGTTTTGTGTTGCTTTTATTTTCTGTTTTCTTCTTGTTTGTTTGTTTCTTTTTTGTTTGTTTGTTTTGTTTGTTTTGTTTGTTTGACTTTGCTTTATTTACTTAACTATCATTTGTTTGTTTGTTTGTTTGTTTGTTTGTTTGTTTGTTTGTTTGTTTTCTTTTGTTTTCTTTTGCTTGGTTTGTTTGGTTGGTTTGTTGTTTTGGTGTGTTTTCTTGTTGTTCTCTTTTGCTTTGCTTGTTTGTTTGCGTGCTTGTTTGTTTGTGTGCTTGTTTGTTTGTTTGCTTGCTTGTTTGTTTGTTTGTTTGTTTGTTTCTTTTTTGTTTGTTGATTGACTGCTCTTTTTTTTTTGCTTTGTTTTTGATTTGTTTGTTTGGCAATCATCTGGACAGTGGTCGCCAGTCTCCACAAGACAGTGCGTGCCTGCCGTGATTCCATGTTTGTTGTCCCGGGCAGGTGGCTCGTGATGATCAATTGCTTTAGCACGTCCTAGGGGCATACTTTGGCGCTCACCAGCAAAAACAGACATTTGCCAAAGGAGTCCCGGATGCAGCAGTCCGCTGGATCCATTCCATACCCAAGGTATCCAGCTTCTTACTGAAGGCAAAACCTGTCGCAAAGGAAAAACAGTGGTCCAAAGCTGACCTTTTGACCTTTTGGTTTTCTTATTTTGGTCCATGTTTAGTCAAGGCTCCAAAAGGTCAGCCTTGTAATTCCAGGTCTTTTGGGAGGAAAGCAACGCCTCCAAGCAAACAATTAACTTTGCGCATCCCTGCGCCAGATTCTTGCGATTGCAGCGCCAAAGTTTGCTCCAAGAGACTGAAACGTTTCCGCTCGGAAATTTTTATCGCGCGAAGAACATGGAAAGGAACCGCCCCATTTGCAATCCAGGTTCCCAGCCCATCAAAGAACGATTTCTGTTTCTTTTCAGGAGGCGGCCGTAGACCCAGAAGAACTTGGGGTGTTAAAGGGGAACGTCCAAACAAGTTACGAGAGGACAACCTTCACCCAGCTTCAAAAGGGCCACCCCTAGGAAAGTGGTATATACCCCATTTCCCTTTGGGGATGGTGGTGTCTCATTGGCAAGGAACCGATTAGTTTTGCCAACCATCCGGTTTCCTAAGATCAAAGAGGGCTTAACCTCCCAGCTTCCCATTATCCCTGGAGAGTAGTTGGAGAGTGGTTGGGGAGAAAAGAGGGTGCCCCATTTTCCCTTAGCAATTTGCTTCACCTCACTTCCAAACTTAAACTTGTACTTTTGGGGTTTAGACCAGTGGCCAAGGTTTTAGTTTTTTTTTGCCCTCCGCTTCCAAATTCGGAAGTCTCACTCCCAGGAGAATTTGGGCGTCTTCGCCTCCCATGCCTTTGGTCAGCTGCGCCAGCTGTCGCGGCGGAACCGCAGCGAGGCCTTGGTCCCCTGGGAGCTGCCGCCGCTGGCAGCGCTGGCGCCGGGGAGAAGTTTGGCGCCGTCGCCGGGGGCGAACCTGCGGGTGGCTTGGCCAGAGGGGGGAGGGGGAAAGGAGGGGCTAGGGCGGGTGGGTTGGGGGGGGGTGTCCTTTTTTTTTTTTTTGGGGGGGGAGGGTTAGAGACGACTTGTTGGTTGCCAAGTTGGAGTGAGTGGGTGCGTTGACTTTTGATGGGAGGCTGTAGGGAACTGTGTGGATGCGGGCGGGTAGGTAGCTGAAAGCGAGTGCTGCGAAAACCAGGCCTTCTCACAGGCAGTTCATCACAGCCACTTGTTGAAGCCACTGCATGGTGCTTGGCCACTTGTTGAAGCCACTGCATGGTGCTTGGCCATTTGATGAAGGCCAAGGGGCAGGTCTCAATGTCAGTGGTACCACTACACAGCACTCGCCTGTCTCACCTTCACGGATGGTCAAGGGCGCTTGTCGGGTGCGTGAGATCGTTGCCCGCTTCTGAGGGCCTTTCGCAGGCCGAGTACTTGAGCGGATCAAGCGTTGGTTGGGATGCCAGCCCGTGAGGTTTACGTCTACGGGGAGGAGGTGGAGGTCTTGGGGAAGCTCACGCGGTCGCCCGCCTTCTGCTCGGGGCCCCAGTCGCCCGACACGTGATCTTTTGTTCAAGACATGTACGAGGTAGGGGTGTACTTTAAAAAAACACATGTTTTGTTTGTCCAGCATTGGCTTATATATATATATATAGTTTCTGCAGTTCTTTTCAAGGGATGTATCATATATTTTCAGATGCATTGTTCATTTTAGTTCTTGCCCAAAGGGAAGCCTCAAAGAGTGGACAACATAGGCACAAGCCCCAGAAATGGAATGGGAAGTTGATGAAATCGATGTCTTCTAGAAATGTCTGAGAAGAAGAAAACTCACCTGTCACCCTGTGAACAATGAGAAGCTGTCCATGTCCGAAAGCAAGGCAAGAGATGTTTGGGAAAGCCTTGCACGTCCACAAAGCATCCTTGCGGTGAGGCATAGCATAGAAAGTCTGCAGCCCTCAATGTCCAGGTTTGCTGGAGCCCACCAGAAGGGCACGTCCTGGTTCGGCATTTTGCAGCACCTGCGATCTTTTTGGACTCCGCCAAGAACTTTCCCGGGATTTGCAGGGGCATGATTTTCTAGAGGTACTATTCTTACATGTGAGTTTCCGGGAATATGTCCAAGGGGATGGATCTTTCAAGGGATGATTTTGGTGCTTTGCAAAACTTGCATATTTTTTGCCTGCTGCCAAGGAGGTTGATTTTCTCAGGCGCGTTCTCCATGGGGATGATTTTCTGGCGGAATTTTCCAGCGAATGCTTCTGCAGGGGGGGGTGGTGTCATTTTCCCAGGTAGCATTTTTTCTCGGACGATTTCACTAGTGGATTTTCCAGAAAAGCCACTTCCAAAACCATTTGGGGATTTGAACCGCTGGCTGTTGTAGAGGGTAAATGGGAAACCCCTCCTGAACCACCAAATTTGGGATTTCCTCCAAGGAAGCCCAATCGGGCATGGTGTTTTTACAGGGGTGCTTCCATGTCTCATTCCCTGCCTATTGTGAACCTAGGGTTTCCCTTAAAGGAAGCTAAATCGGGGATGGTTTTCTCGGGGTCCATCATTCCCTGCATCTCTCGAAAGAAGATGGGCCCCGGCTTCCGCCTTGCGCGCGCCGCGGGCCGCGGGCGAGGCCACTACCGGCAGTGGGGCATGGACGTGGGCTTCCACGACTTCTTCCGGAGCTCGCCGCTGCGGACCTTTCGCCCGGAGGAGGCGGACTACTTCCTGGTGCCCAGCTATGCCTGCTGCCACCAGGCGGATCGACGGGGATTGGGATTGGGGCAGGTGGGGGGAGGTGGGGGACATGGCGCCGGGTTTGGGTCATTTCATGGAGGGCTCCCTTCTTTTTTGGTTCCCTTCATTTTTTGGGGCTGTTTTGTGAGAGGGCTGCCTTCTGTTTTGGGCCTGGGGAGCTGGGTTTGTGAGCGTGGAAAGCCATGGCGTCTGAGGGTCTGAGGGAGGGGTGTGCCTTTTGGGCTTGGCGCAAGCATTTTACATCACTATTTGGATTTGTTTTAACACAGAGAACCTCAAAAGAATCCCAAAGAAGACCAGCTGAAATTCCCTTAATTTTCGCAACTTCTGGCTGAGACATGTAATGTCCCCAAGTGCTTCTGATTAAGGGGTGTCTACAGTCAAAAACAAGGGGCCTTTCAAATTACCCTGGACTCAGGCCAGTTTCGTTGCCCTTCTGATTGGCATTCATTTTCAGGGGGTGGCTCTTGAAAAGACTTGTGAGGGTTCCGTGAACACAACACCCAGGGCTTCAAAAGGGATGCAGCCAACTTCTCGAAATTAGGCTGGAACACGCTGCTTGTTTAGTTGAGACATCTTGCGGTATCTGCTGGTTGCTCAGGTTCCTCTTTGCTACCTTGGTTGCGCTTGGGGTGCGCTTGTTGGTTGCCCAACTGTATTTCCCCCAAGCCACTACTCCAAGCTTTGGCCCTTTGCCCCCGTCCAATCCTGCCCCAAGCCTCCTCCGAGGTTTGGTGGGAATATGGGCGGTGGATGGTTGTGGGAAGCTAGTGGGTCCATTTGACGATTTTCAGATCGCAGGTCCAAAAGAGAACCTTGCAAAAGGTTGGCCCACTTTGGAATCTCAACACGCCCAAACCGCCTGGATTTATGTCTTGGATGCCGTCAGTTCAAAGTGTGCAGTTCTTTGGCAATGGGCACAAGGTTTCCACGGTGTCCCACAATATGGGCTCCTGTCTTGAGCGTTGTCTAATGGTGAGGAAGACCAGCTTGACGAAACGTTCGAAAGTGGATCATTCCGTTGGAGGCGCCCTATTTTACCACCTGCTTCAGGGTGGGGACCAACCTGTCACGCCTAGGTTCTGTTTTCAAAAACATGTCTTCTCGAAAACTTGCCGGTGATCAGCAGGGAATGAGAAATGGAATGACCCCTATAAGCCTATAAACCATCCAACTGGTGGTTTCCTTTAGACGACCAAAGCCTAAATTCATTCCCACATTCCCTACTGTGGATGGACGAAATCCATTTCGCACCACTTTGAAACCACGATTGAAACCCATTGGTATTTACATTGGGGAATCATCATTTCGTCCATCCACAGTCTCACATTTAGCAAAATGACCAGAACTTTTCCCATGTGGTGAAAGCCATTGGTTCGGTGGCTTCCCTGTCATCCCATGTGGAGGGCCTTAGGTGGCTTGTTTATGGATGTCGCAACCATCCACAGTCCCCACCTCGCGCCAGCCGTCCACAGGTGGCCGGAATGGCGGAGTTTGATGAGCTGGATGCGGATTTCACCCAGGCGGTCAAAGAGCTGCCGTACTTCCAGAGGAGCGGGTTAGAGCCACTCCTGGCGCGCCAGCGCAGAATTCTGCAGGACATGGCTGGTTTTGGTTGGGTAGAATTCCCTTACTTGTCCGGCACAGCCTCCGGAGTCAAAAAGAGTTTCCTCGAGCTGATTTCTATGAGCTTTGGATGGGGTTGTCAACGTTGGAGTTTATGGGATTGCGTTTGCAGGAAGCACGGGCCCGCCCCTTTTATCCCGGTGGGTTGGTCACTAAAGGTGGAATCAATCAGGAACAGAGAGCTCCGAGTCGCTTCCTACCCGGGTCACTGGGCGTCAAGCTTTGGCAACCAACAGGTCAGGCGCAAATCACACCAAAATGGAAATATGCACACCTTGTTGAAGGGTACCTGCTTTTGAGGGCCAATTGGAGCCCAGTTGATCAAGAACGCCCTGGTGATCTTGGAACGTAGCCATACGGTCTGTTGCTACGCGAGTTTTGTGTGCAAATCCCTTGAGCCCCGCACTTTTGCAGCAGAAGGTGCCGGTCTGTCACGGGTAGCAGTCGTCTTTGGGTGGCTCTAGGGTTGAAATATGAGGGAAGCCACAAGAAAATCGATGATTTGAGCTCCCAATTTGCAGCCCAGTCAGGAGTGGGGGCCGGGACCACATTTTCTCCCTTCATTACATCGACCTCTTCCCTTCCTGGCGGAAGCGGATTCCGCGGAGCGTGTTCCTGACCCCCGAGACGGAGGTGAGCCTCCGAGCGGGCCGTTTTGAAGTTCAGTAGGGCAGTCCGACCAGAAGGGGTACGTACGGGTTTCCACCGTTTGAACCTCGGCATGTGTAGAATGTGTTGATCAATGTCGACGCCACAATATTGTTATCATTACGAATATTATTAGCAGGATTTTTACTGTTCTGTTCATTTTATAATGGGTTCCAATGAGGGCGTGTTTCCCCCAAAAGTGCAAGACCCCCCTTGAGTAGTCGACCCGGCGATTGATTTTGGCTTCCCCTGGCCCAGGTGGGGTTCGAGCGGTCGCTGGAGGAGTTCGGGTTGGACCAAAATCGGTTTCCACCGTTCAACCCGCTGAAGGACGTGGTGGTCCCGCCGCGCCTTCGCTTTTCGAACATGGCCACGGGTTCATTCTTCCCGGCTGATTCAGCGCGAAGGGGTGAACGAGTGTTCTAGTGTGGACGATATCCTGCTTGGGATGGATGAAGCAGGTCATGGGAGAAACCACCTATATACCAACTGGTGTTGGCTCATTTTCTCCGCCAAAAGTGCTCGGTTTCCGTCGAACCCTGATGTCGGATCAGTCCTCTATTCATGAGAAGTCGCTACGCGGGGCTGGCCTCAACACCTGGTCCCATAGCGGTTGTGTTTGAGGCTAGGAAAAGAGATGTCTGGTCGTACCCACTCCTGGAAAGCACCCAAAGGGGGATCGCATATCATCAAACATTTGCCTGCAACACTTTACTCACATTCCAGGAGAATTCGGATGTTGGTGACATCCCGAGTGACACTCATCTCCCGCCATGTCACCGCGAGAATCGGGTTGTTTTTTTGGGGGGGAGCTCCCGAGGTATCTGAATCTGCGGGACGTGCTGGGCTTCCAGCGCCACGCCAAGGCTGTGGCCGCCCGCGGTTTGGTGGCCTCCTTCGCGGGGAAGCTGTGGTCGGACGTGGCGGAGGCGGCGGAGGTGCGGGGCAAGGTGGCGGCGCTCGCCTCGGCGCCAGGAGGGGTTTGGGGCGGATGGGGGGTGGTGGGTGGTGGGTGGGGGTGGTGGGTTTGGGCAGCCGCGGGGGGGGGGGGGAGGGGGTGGGTAGGGCAAGGGTTGTCTAACAGGAGATCGATCTCGCACAAGGTGAATCAGAAGGAAGGACAAAACCCATTTTGAAATACCCCATGGGGACAACCCGCTTGGGGCTTCCAACGAAACGATCCCGGTTTCTTTTTTCTTTAGCCGCGCCCATTCGCGGCTTGAAGTTCAGGCTTCGGGATCCACAGCTTCGCGTCCATCAAGGACATGCTGAACTCTGAGCAGATGCAGAGGCGCTACATCCCCGTTGGCCAACTTGGAACTTGTTGTTCATCGAAAAACAAGTCGTCCATGGGCATTGGGGTACTTTTTGCCTTTTCTCCCCTCTTGCTTGTGGAGGTTGGCCAACTTGGAATTTGTTTGTTCGAGAAAAAGTCGTCCAACGGCCTTCGTACTTTTTGCCTTTTCTGCCCCGGCCCCTTCCCCCCTTTCCGCCCCTCAGATCTGTCAGGCATTGGCCAGGATGCAGGGGGAGGGCCTCTGGCTTGTGGAGATTTAATCAGGCAACCACGAAGGGAATTGCCGGTTCTCCTTGTGGCACTTCTTTCCACGTCCAGAAAATGAGTCGAGTGATGCTGACTGGCACAGCGAACTTCAAACATCAGCAGCTTGAGTATTCGTTTTGGAGCCTCGGCCAAAAGAGGTCGGACCAACCGGTGCTATGTGTGCACCAGCCATGAGCCAACGGAAACCGAAGTCCACCGACCCTCCCACCAACTCACATGGGCTTGTGCAAAAAGGCCCTTTTCAAGAGGAAAGTTTTTGTTTTCTACAGGGGTCCGTGCACAAACTCATAGAATTGCTGGTGGGAGGGGAACGCTTCTCTTCGCCTCGCCGGGCGCCCACGTCGCTGGGTGTCGCCGGGTGTCGCCGGGTGTTGCCGGGTCGCCGGGGTCGCCGGTTTCGGCGGCTTCGGCGGGCGTCGCTCGCGAGGCTCATGGGGGACAGCCGGTTCTGCCTGGTGCCGCGGGGCCGGGCCGCGTGGTCGGTGCGGTTCTTCGAGGCGTTGTGGGCCGGGTGCGTGCCGGTGCTGCTCTCGGAGCCGCGGATATGGAGGGGGTGGAGGGGGGTGGAGGGGGGGTGGAGGGGGACGCAGGGGGACAGGACTGGGTGCTGAGGGGATGGTAGGGGTGGAGGGGATGGGGAAAATATGGTTGCTCCATTGGAGGGTTCTAAGGGCACAGAAGTGTTGCCTGCCGGTTAGTACATGCCCCTGGTTTGCACAAACTCTACCAAGAAAATTGCAGCCCCCACACACACAGACATTTCACTTGCAAGTCATTGAGTGGGGGCAACGGCGGCCATGCGTTCTTGTTCCCATTTTTCCCGGCCGGAAAACCGCATGGACCCTAATTGCAGGGGCCTGGTATGGATTTTCCTCAGGGGTCTTCTGTGGCTCCGGTGAGTTTCATGGCAACCCCCCGCCAGTTTTGTTCCGGCAGAAAGGGGACGGGGAGGATTTTGAAACAAACGATGCTGGGACCACCCCTTCTAAATCCCAAAAACACATAGCACCGTGGCTCGGAGGCATTGGTAGTTATTGCGGATTCAGAGCGTTGGCCAGAACCTGGGTTGTATCACGGTTGATGTGCTCGGAGTCGGCGGTTCCTTGTTTGTGGCTGACGGAAGGATGCAGTAGGGACCAGTTTAAGAAGTTCGCCTGGACACGTGCGAGGATCACTACCAGCCCGCCTTCGACCAACTCTTTGATACCACGCAGCATCTCAGTCTGCACCGAGAGCATCCCCACCACCTAGTGAATGAATGCAAGCAAATGCCCCCGAATGAAGGAACCATTCCCCATAGCACCACACCCCTTCCTTTTATGGGTACAAGTGGGCGTGTCTTTCTTGAGGGAAACCAAAAGGAGAATCACCATTATGGTCTCCTAACAAACACATACCCAAGTGGAGGCTGCAGGCTTGCCAAAGGGCTTGGCATCATTGAAGGCTTGCAAAGGGGCTGTTGCAAGCAGCCGGCTTGTTTGGCATACAAAGCTGACCGATTCAGGTACGCATCGAAACTGGGGACAGTTACTCAAAAGCAGAAAAACCTTCCATTTGCAGCCTCGGGCCATGTTTTTACACTTTTGCATTGAAAGTTGGGTTTCTTGCCGCTGGTTTGGTTCTCCTTGCAGTCAAGCAGGACTTTCTAAAAGCTTTTTTTTTTGAGGAACCTTTGGAAAAATGCATGCCCTTTTTTCTTTCCAGTAATTTTGCAGGGGCTCGGGATGGGGATAAGCCAGACGAAAATTATGCGGGAGGTTTGTGATCAAGTGGCCGGTGGCTCGCATCGACGAGTCGCTGGTGTCCTACCTGCACAATTTGCCGCTGGAGGTGGTCGAGCGCTACGCCCGCAACGCGCGGGCGGTGCGCTGCTGCTTGGATTGGAACGTTGAAAGTCCCCTTGCCTGTGTTCTTCAAGGCCCCCCACCCCCCAAAAAAAAATCAAAGCCCCAATCCCAACAGGCGCTTGTAGCGATAGGGCCTAAAAAGATCTCATAGGGCCCCATTGGCCCGTTCAAAAGCACACCCGAAAGTTAAGGATTTACTGCGTATACGGGCCCAACCCAGAATCATGCAGGGCGGTCTCAACCATCCCTTGTGTATGTGTTGAAAAATGTGCGAGCCGATTTGAGGGGTGGTTCCTTTTCAAAGGGAAGCCACAATTTGAAAAAATGTTGACAATTTTGAGACCTGCCCAAGTGAGATGGCAGGGTTACTCCAAACCTTTCTCAACAAGCTAAGTTTGGTCACAGCATTGTGCTTTGGGTGGGAGGCGGGGTTGGTGTTCAAGGGAAACCAATAGCAAACCACAGATTCTTGGGTTCCCCTCGTTTTGAGACAACCTCAAACTCCCCCGTTGATTTAGGGGGTGTGCACTATTGGACGGAATGCCCCATCAAATCTGACAAGTTGATTGATCCGGGGTCAACGCTAAGGTTACTCGGTAGCGAGGGGAATCTCCGCAGAACCACGCCTCTTTTCATGAGTGCTGGATTGAAAGGCGACGGCTTTGGCAGAACGCCAGCGGCCAGATTTTGGCCCAAGGTCTCTTGTGCTTCCCTGAAAGACAGGGGAGCGTCTTTTCTTTGAGGGTACCCCCCCTTGGAGTGGATTCAAAGGGACACCAAAGGGAGAAGCACAAGTTTTGGGGTCGCCTTCAGAAAAGGCGACATAAGGACATGGTTGTTGGGAGACATTTTACATGTTTGCTCGTTGTGGTTTGGTTGAAATCCAACCACTTAACTGCTGAACTTTTCTTCTTTTTTTTGCTCCCCTAACCCAACGTCACCCAAGAAGGATGCGGGGGCCCTTCATCGCCCTTGATCCCGGAAAGCCGAGGTTGGTACCTGTACCCTCCGCCGGAGGTGTCGTGGATCGGTGACTGGAACACCCGGCGCCTCGGAGGGGAGAGCTGGAACCTACGGTTTTGGGTGTGCCGGGGCCCGGTGAGTCCGTGTGAGCCACAGTCAAAACCCGAGAAGATGAAGGTTGGCAAGGAAGAATCCTAACCAATAAATGGGTGACGCCGGTTCTGGGTAGACCATTTTCAGACCAGGTGTTGCTTACAACTCATTTCTCTGCATGGCAGGTAGCCAGAGAAACTACCCTTGAACGATAAGTACGGGGAGCATGGCCTGTTGCCTGCCGTCCAGCTGCATGTTTCCTTCTGGTACCACGGAAGTAGGCAATCCCCATAGCCTATCTACCATCGTGTTAATGCGCACCCCTGATTGCCAAACCCTGCTCCTACTCATTGTTGAAGGGGGTCCCTTTTTAGTGGGGAATCCTTTCTTCCAGGACCCTCTCTGATCAATAACTGGGGGTTTATTGATCGTGGGTCATCATTAGGTTCATTGAGCAAATTTCATTGTTGGCCATTCGTTTCTGTTCTTGTATTCAGCCTTCAGGCTGCGAGGCTCAGAAGTTGGGCGAGTTTTTTTTTGGGACCCGGTCTTTCCACCCCAAACCTTTTTTGTTGTTGACCAAAATTTGCCGCGCCAACTTCTTGGCCCCAAAAAGCAAGCTGCAACCTGGTCTTTCCACTTTTGTTGACCAAAATGCCGCGTCACTTATTGGAACCGCAACTGAACGTGGTTGAACACCTCCCTCCCTCGCGGCGCGGCTCGTTCTCAAACCCGACTTGTCGGGTAGGCAGGAGCTGGACGAGGTGGAGCAGCAGATCTGCCCCAACCTCTCCTCCTCCCGCAACGCCTTCCAGGCAAGTCCATGGCTTGCGGTCCGGCGCAGTTGTCTTGACAAGGGAACGGCACACCTGTGAAACCAAACCAAGCGAAGAGACCGAGATTCATGGCACGTTTTAACTCATTGGCTCAGTTCCCCCATGGTTCATTGTGGGTATATAATGGTATCAGGTTGCAACGGACACCAGCATTTAGTTAGCAGTTCATAAGTCTTTCGTCGGCGTGTTCTTTTCTTGTGCCCAGGTGTTTGCGATTTGAAGGAAAACCACAAGGACTTCCATTTGGTTAAGACTATTTTTTATTTTCCCCTGTTGGTTTTAAAGGGAATCTATCACTACTGGATATATATTTTTTTTCCAGGGGACGTATCCGCAAATGGAGGAGGAAGGCCCACCGATTTCCGGGGATCCCCCCCCCCAAACAAAACGGACGGCCCCGCACTCTCGCCCCGCAAGGCCGTGGTGGAGATCTTGGCGCGGCGCAAGGCCGCCAGCCATGTGAGGCAGGTCCCGGCCAGGAAGCCAAGGCTCTGTCATCAAGATCTCCACAAGTTTTTCCCGTTTATACGCATCTTTCTCTTTATAGATATATTAATATATATATATAGACTGGGTTGGTTTAAAATAAAGAGATGCAAAGTCAAACGCGTACCCGCGCGCGCGCGAATGCTTGCTTGCTTGCTTGCTTGCTTGCTTGCTTGCTTGCTTGCTTGCTTGCTTGCTTGCTTGCTTGCTTGCTTGCTTGCTTGCTTGCTTGCTTGCTTGCTTGCTTGCTTGCTTGCTTGCTTGCTTGCTTGCTTGCTTGCTTGCTTGCTTGCTTGCTTGCTTGCTTGCTTGCTTGCTTGCTTGCTTGCTTGCTAGTGTGTGTTGTTTCTTTGAGGGGTTGGCTGAATTAAATGAGAACCAAATTCAGAAGTTTGAGAAACCGACAACGAAGCCACAATTCTGGGAGGGTCCCAACTCCCTTTTCTGGAAGACCCCAAAAAGGGCCTCGTCTCACTTGGAGAGCAGGCAGGTGAGGGGTTGGCTTTACGTGATGCGCACGAGTGGCACGGGATCTCGGGTTCTTAGGCGTTCAATGTTTGGATCAGTTTGTTGGGCGGTTGGGCTGCCCGCGCGTCCGATTCCGAGGGTGTTTCCCCTTTGGATGTTGAACATAGTGGACGCCTCCTGGCGGGTTGCCAATGGAAAGCCAAAGGAAACAGCCCATTTTCAGGAGCCGATACTTGTAGAAATCTCCAATTTCAGGTTGGTGAAATGTGATACTTCCGGACCTTGAGTCAGGCCTGATGCCTTCTACATGGCGCACCCGGAGCACTTTGCACCCACCGTGGTGGACGCGCAAATGCGGCCAATATGACGGACAAAAGGGCGTTGAACTGCGGCGGCGGTTGGATCTTTACCCAACTCTTTGGCTAGGTGTTGCACTTTTTGGTTGCCAATAGCCAGTTGCTTGGCTGCTCTTTGCGGTCGGGGCTGTGGTACTTGCTGCCTGGACCATTTTAGAAGCCACCGCTGGATTTTGCGGACGACCCTTTTAAAGGGCCCGTTGCTCCAAAGAACTCTCAGTCCTCGCCGACGGTTCCGGGTGCAACCCAAGCCATACCCCTCTGGTGACGCAGGCTTCAAGGAAAGACGGGGAGTTTTTGTGTTTCCTGTATTTGGGAGCTGGTCCATCGGATGGATTCTTTGAGGAACGCCTAGGCCTAGGTGCCAGTTTTGTTCAGAACAGTGAAGAACGCAAAATCTGTTCCCTGCTGAGATTCGCATGTTGCGCGGAGAAGTCGCGAAGTGGAAAACAGTCTACCAAGAGAGACGCATTTTAGCTTGTACCCTCCACGCCAATATTGTGGGGCAGCCCAGTGTCTGGTAGATGGACAGGGTGGATTTTTTGAGACCTTGGCTGAGACTCCCATAGTTGTTTTTGTTCACTTGGGGCACCTTCAGGTGCCAAGTGCAAGTAAGCTTGGCCTTGGCCTTCCACCCCGAGCTTTATCATCAAGGGGGGTGGTAGGGCCATGGCCTAACAACAAGTGTTCATATCACGTTTAACCCTTAAAGGGCACCACATCTGATGTTCTCCAGAGGTCTTGCGGTTTGCTTTCTTTCTGTTTGTTTTCCAGCCTGGGGGCTGCGCCGGACACGTCTTTCTTCCGAGCGAAAGGGTAAAAACGTCGGACGCAGGCGCGGCCTGTGACCAAAGTGGTGCAGCTGCTGCAGGGCATGAAGGCACGACTTCCGCCAATTCGGAGGTGAAAAACTCCACGGACTGTGCCAATCGGCCGAGGGATTTCCCCATGGTTTCTGGGAAATCATATTTAAGGAGGTTCATATATCGGACCAGGAAGATAAAGTCAACAAGGAAATATGGTTACCCATATTTCCTTGTTGCCTTTATCTTTCTGGTCCGATATATGGACCTCCTTAAGGGAAACTGAGGGAAGGTTTATGGGGTTCTTTTTCTCATTCCCTGCCGAGAACCAGAAAGTTGCGCCAGCCATAGTTTGGCGCAATGGGGGTGCGAGTTTATGACACGTCCTTTGAGCAGGTCGGGTTTCTTTCGGGCCCCACTACTTGGCAGCCTTCCCAAAAGTGTAAATATGGAGGGGCCCGTTTGTTTCCTCAAGGGGTGAGCAGGCGAGCCCTGGTTTGGGTCACTTGTGTTCGACCGGTGCGAATGCTGGGCTCGATTCACAGGGCGAGATGTCCAGTTTGACCATGCAGCTGAAGCACTCGAGACCTGCTGCCCCCTCCTCCTCCCCCACCCTTGGAGACGGCATCTCTACGGTGGTTTTGTGGGCCTTCAAAGGGATGTTGGCGATCCTTCTCAGAGGTGCCGTGGGAGCGTCGGAAGTCCGATTGGGGGCCAAGGGGCTCTGTGAAAGAGAAAGCTGCTGTCAAGACACTTTTGTTTTTTTGTTTCCTTGGCGTATTGCTGTGTTTCTCTGTTCCCGTCCTTCAGGAGCAGGCAAAACGCCTGGTTCTTTAGCGCCTATGTTGAACTTGCGTTTTGTTCTATGGTGCTTTGTTTTTTGGAGAATGGATCTCCAGGGTCTCGACTTAGACCGATCTTGAAGAACGCGCAAGCCAGGGGCAGCTGGAGTCGGAGGCAAAGGAAGAGGAAGACCTCATGGAGAAGTACAACTGCTGGTGCAAGGCGGGTGCAACTCCAACTCCCTTCTGCTCACTTCCTGAGTTCACGAACTTTAAACTTTTTGGGTTTGGACCATTTTAGTGGTACATATAAAGTTTGGACATGTTTTTGCGCCATCCACTCAGCCAGTGAGTCTGGAGTGGGGCAGGCCATCGCTGTTTTTGGTGTTTGGTTTGAGGGGAGAAATGGCGTACCTCTACATGGGCCGTTGCCCATTCAAGCCCCCGAGGAAATCAGCCCAACAAGTTTCCCCAGGTCTTAAGCAGCACAATGCCACGGGCAAAGTTAATCAGCGGCAACCACAATACACACACACATCTATGAATAAGTAGTAAATAGAATAAATAGCTGCATAAACAAATAAGTCACCAACTAAATAAATAAATAAGTAAGCCAATAGATCCATGGATAAATGAATACATAACTAGCTAAATAACTAAGTAAATAATTGAATACACAAGTAAACACTAAGTAAATCACAATAAAGAAGTCATGAATAACTTTATGTACACGAATACACGTATATTTAGGGACCGACACTATACTTTGACGATTGGATGGATTTAACATTGCCTTTTGGATCATGTTTCAATGGGAAATGCAGGGCACCATTCTCCTCAAAAGCGGGGGCAAGTCAGAGCCAGCTTGGATAGCACTGCGATTCGCAGAGCATTTTCAAAGGTTGGTAGGCACCTGCCACCTACCTGGTTGACAAGTAGCCCCAAAGATTCAGTGTTTTTTTCTTCTTTTTTCGGTATGGTGGTTCAGGGTATGGATGCTTATGTGCCACCAACATGTAAATATGTATATATATATATGTATATGCTTGTAGGGCAGTATGTATCCCTTATGTAAGTGGTATATTACCTCCAGACTCCATACCTCCAAAACCCGTACCTGAAAATGCCCTTGAAACATTCAGCAATTCCAAAAGGATTTCTCCCAAAGGAAGCCACAAAGCGGAGGAACGGACGGAAGCCAATCGACATGACAGGCCTGCTGTCTTACATGTGTCGTACAAGTACAGTGCGTTGTTGCGAATTGCTCCTTTTTTTCTTCCCGTGACGAAGGTGCATTCAGCACAGAAGCAATACCAGAATGTTTGAAAGAACAGGCATAGAACGTTACGTCAAAAGAGGTCACGCCTCATTCTGTGAGATTGTCATCAACAAATGTTTATTTATATGTATAGATATATGTATATAAACGGTATGACAGAGTTGAGAAAAGAAAGGCAAAACAATACAGACTGGTGCGATTATCTATTTGGAATACTAATATACCAATGCATTCTGCCACTCGCTTTGTTCCAGCGCAGGCAAAGCGGAACAGCGAGGAAGAACGTTCCTTTTCATTTCCCCTTCATTTCCCCTTCATTTCCCCTTCATTTCCTCTCATGTCCCCTTCATTTCCTTCTTGTCCATTTCATTTTCCCTTCATCTTTCCTCTCACGTCCCCTTCATTTCCTTCTTGCCCATTTCATGTCCCCTTCATCTTTCCTCCTTTTCCCCTTCATGTTCCCTTCCTTTATGTTCCCCTTCACTTCCCCTTCACTTCCTCTTCGTGTTCCCCTTCATTTTCCCCTTCTTTTCCCTGCCTTTCCCATCCCTTTGCGTCCCCTTGTCCTTTTCATCTCCCTTTTGCCTTTCATATCCCTTGAGTTCCTGAAACAAAATCCTTGTTTGCACTTTCATTTTCCATTCATTTCCTTTTTTTCCTTTTCATGTCCACTTCATCCCTTCATCCCCCTTCATTCCCTCTAGTTCCACTCATTTCCCCTTCATTTCCTCTCATGTCCCCTTCGTTTCCCTGCTGGTCCATTCCATGTCCCTTTCATTTCCCTTCCATTTGTTTAGGTTCGTCGCCCTGGGGGAAAGGTTAGGGACGGGAATAGGTGAGGAGCCTTCCTTATATCCAACACGCCGGCTTACTCCCACGCACCCCCCCCCCCCAAAGGATTCGATAGCCGCCTAAGAAGGACAGCCAAGCAAACAAAGAACCTAAAACATGTGGCACTAAACCAGAGTTGTTTTCCGCTTATTTCTTTATTGTCAAGAATCAAGGGTTTCCTGTTGCTCATGTGGCAGATGGAGAAGCTAGCAGTCCATCTTTTTCACATGCTCCCGAAAGAAAACCAACAGATGATGGGTAATGTTCTACCCTCCCCCAAGCATGGAAGCTCCCAGGACCCCTTTGGAAGACTTGGTTCCATGTACAGGATCGGCCTTCTGGGAGCTTCCATGGAATAGTCTGAGGGAGTGTAGATTCTCTAAGCAGTCCATTTTTCACCTGCTCCCCCCCCAAAAAAAAAAATAGGAAAAGAAAAGACAAAACACCCAATAGATTATGGGTCATGTTGTAGATTCTTTCCAGACCCGGAACGCATTCCAGCGCCCCACCGGCAGGATGCAAACACGTTTCCGACGTGGTTGAGCCACAACCCCAGATTCTTGGCGCCATCCAAAAGACGGCCTTTGAAACCTTGATTGCTATTGTGTTGGATCTTTAGGCTGATGTTTTTTTAAGGGAAATGAAGGGGTTTTCCCACTAAACCCGCTCAACGTAAAACTTTGTTGCAGAGGGGCCAACAGCAACCAAGAAACAACAACAGAAAAGGGTTTCCTCCAGAGAGACGAGAAAAAAAAAGAAGAAAGCATATGTCCACTTTGACACGTTGACATTTGGCTGTGGGTCAAAACCAATGGTACCATTTTGGGGTAGGTGCACCACCCATTTTAGTCTATTTTAGTGGGGATTGGGATGGTACGGGCTTTGACCCATGGCCATTTGATGGGCTTCGCCCCAAACAACAGACAGAGGGCAGTTCCGCACCTGGAAGGAGAATGGCGAAGAGAAGGAGAAGGCTCGGCGGCAACACGTGTCCAGTCCGATTTGGCTGGATGCACGCCCACATCGCGACTGGCTGGACTTCCTGGGAGCAAGCAAAGGTGTAGCTGGTAATTTTCCCATTTCCCGAGGGCCGTACAAGCGAACGGAGGTTTCCGAGCAAGTGCCAAATGCAGTTTATGATGAGCTAGGGGCCTTAGGAAGCACATAGCGGGCCTTCGCGCTTGTGGCTCGGCGAGTTTGGAACTGGGGCAAGCGAGCCTTGGCAGTGTGTGCTGCTTCTGTCTGCCCGCAGAGCCTTCTCATAAACACTTGGTTTCCCTCTGGTGTGGCCCTTGGGATTTGAGCTTTTTCGGGAA